TCATAAAAAATGTCTAAGGCATAGGTCCAGGTGATGGAGATACAAACAGGTGAAAAGGTGGGGCAAAGGGGATTCACACTTGAGAAAAGCCAATAATCTTGGGATTAGACAAAAAATAACTGAGTGGCAGTATTGTCAAGGGTAGGGTGAACCCCAGGGCTAGGGGGCCAGGGGTTTTGGCCAATGAAAAGAGCACAAAGGGCAGGATGGGGCAGGGCTGGCTGTGCCTGCTGCAGCGGGCCTACGACTGGCTGAGGCCATTCCCAGCCTCTCTCATCTTCTGGGCCTAGAGCAATACCCACATCGTCCCCAAGCCTTTCTCAGCCCAAAGACCCAGAGCCTTCACGTAGTAAAGGCTCCTGAACTGAGGCCCACAGCACTCACTTGGTAATTCTTCACCTTGATAGGGAGTATTGTATCCTGCCCCTTCCCCCAGCGGAGAAGCCTGCCCTGGGCTCTGCAACCCACTCACCACCCCCACCCCCCCCGACGCCACCCACACCCGGCTCTCACCACACTGCCTATCCTTCCAGGGCTCTGCACAGGACACGCCTTCAGGCTGCAGCACCCTTTCTACCCTACTCTTTGCTTGCTAACACCTCCTGCTTAGGTCAGTCCCTTCTTGGGAAAGCCTTCCCTGAACACCAAGTGTGGTTCAGGTTCCTCTTTCTATGAGCTCCCAAGTGCCTGCTGTTCATCCCCCATGAGATGAGATGAGAGGAGGAGACAGGACGGCATCACTGGCCTTTGTAAAGCAACCGGGGCTAGATCTAGGGTGCCACACATAGTGAGCTCAACAAATACCAGAGACTTAAGAACCTAAGTGGCTCCTCAGCACCTACATTTTGAATTATTTTTTATTTTGAAATAATAACCCATGAATGTATGGATTATTTCTGGACTCACAATTCTATTCCCTTGCTTTATGTCTACCCTTCTGCCAGTACCATGCTGTCTTGATTACTGTAGCTTTGTAATAAGTTTTGAAACTGAGAAGTGTGAGTCCTCCAATTTTTTTTTTTCAAGATCTTTTCCTTTTTCAACCAGCTATTCTGATTCCCTTGCATTTCCATATGAATTTTAAGATCAGCTTGCCAATTTCTAAAAAAAATAAAACAAAACCCCAGAAACAGACATAAAAAACTCTGGATTTTGAATGGGATTACATTGAATGTGTAGATCAATTTGGGGAGTACTGATTTTAAATCTTCCTATCCATGAACACAGGATGTTTTTCCATTATTAAGATTTCTTTCAACAATGTTTTATAGTACTCAGTATACAAGTCTTGCACTTCTTTTGTTAAATTTATTCTTAAGTATTTCATTCTTTTAGGGGTTACTGTAATTGGAATTTCCTTAATTTCATTTCCAGATTGTTCACTGCCGATATACAGAAATACAACTGATTTTTGTTTATTGATCTTGTATCCTCTCATGTCACTCAATTCATTTATTAGTTCTAATTTATTCAAAAGTTTTTTAATTCCTTAGGATAGTCTATATAAAAGATCCCATGTCTTATCAATAGAGATTGCTTTACTTCTTATTTTCTAATCTATACACCTTTTATTTCTTTTTCTTGAGTGATCGCCCTAGCTAGAATCTCAAGTACCATGTTGTATAAAAGCCGCAGGAGCAGATATCCTTGCTTGTTCATGATCTTAGGGCAAAGCCCTCCATCTCTCTCTATTATGTGAGATGTTAGCTGTGGTCTTTTTGCAGATGCTCTTTATTGGGTTGAGAGCATTTCCTTCTATTGTTGAATGCTTTTATCATGAAAGGGTGTTGGATTTTGCAAATGCTTTTTTCCATGTCTATTTGAAATGAGCATGTGTTTTTTTTTATCCATTGTTCTATTAATATGATGTATTACACTGACTTATTTTCAGATGTTAAACTAACCATTCCTGGAATAAATTTCATTTGGTCATGGTGTATAATCCTTTTTATGTGTTGCTGGATTTGTTTTGCTAGTATTTTTTGTTGAGGACTCTTACATCTATAGTCATAAGGGATACTGGTTTGCAGTTTCTTGTGACGCCTTTGATTTTGTTATCAGGGTAATACTGGCCTCACAGAATGAGTTGGGAAGTGTCCCTTCCTCTTCTATTTCTTGAAAGAGTTTGTGAAGGATTAGTATTAATAAAACACTCATTATTAAAGACATTTTCAAATGGTCCAAAAAACAGTAAAAATAGTAATGTTATGAACGCCCATGCATCCTTCCACTCAGTTTCAATAATTATCAATATTCTACTATTCTTATTTCATCTATACTCACTTCCCAATGTCTGATTCTTCTGGGGGGGGGAGTGGGGGTGAAATTATTTTAAAGCAAATCCCAGACATGTCATTTCACCCTTAAAAGACTACCTATATATATAAATATATCTTTAACAGACTTTTAAAAAAAACATAACCAAAATTTAATTGTTTCACCTAACAAAATTAACAGTAATTCCTAATGATATCTAATACCTGGCCCATGCTCAAATTTCCCCAAATGTTTACAAATGATACTTCGAATTAGTTTGACTCAAGATCTAAACAAAGTCCAACAGTGTATTTCGTTGATACACTCTTAATAACAGCCCCTTTCCCCCTTTTCTCCCCATGCCATTCATTTATTTGATGAAAAAAAACAAGTTACTTATTGTGTAAAAATTTTTCATGCTCCATTTTTAGTTGGAACACATGTATTCTCCTATGTCTGTTTAACTGGTTCTCCTATCTCTCATGCTTCTTTTCAACTGGGAATTCCATCTAGATTCAAACTGCTGTAAACTTATTAGAAGACACTTGATGTCTGGCTGTCCCACTTTCAGTGTTAAGATTGATCTATGGGATCAGGTGCTACCAGCCTGATCCATCTATTATAAAGTTCCCCATCAACATTTTACTTAATGGTTTTAGCAACCACTGACAATTTGTGCCCAGGTATATGGTTTCAGGAGAAGTTGCAACATGGTACTTTTCTGATTCTTTCAGTTCCTTCAAGGCTAGGATTATTTTACCTTTACAATGACAGACTCCAGGTCTACGATTCCCAAATTAGTATGGCACAGCCTCCAGGTGCCATTGTGAAAGCTCTGGGGACGTTTTTGCTTGTCACGGTGTCTGGAAAGTCCTCGTGGCATTTATAGGCAGAGACCAGATGCTGCGTGCTCTACAATTCACAGCCGAGTTCCACATAATGAAGAATGACCTGTGTCTCACACAGCTTTCTCAAGTCTTGTTAGGCACCCATGGAGATGTAAAGCCTACATAAATTACCTGAGTCCAAGACACTTTTTTTTTTTTTTAGCTGAGCCATCCTGCCACCTGTTGGCAGCTCAGCGGCAGCTCAGCTCAGGCTGGGCATCGAACCACTAGTTGCTCAGAGCTCGCACTCTTGAGCGAGCTCTTAACCAACTGAGCCACTTGGCCGGCCCCAAGACCACTTTTATATGAACAGAAAGTATTTTTTATACTGTTTTAATACAAATTTTTCCAAGAATATAACTATGATGTAATTGAAGAAACACTGTCCACCTACTATTTTGTTTGCCATTCTCTTAAGGGCTGTTCACCATTGGGGCTCGTTAACAGCAACACAGTTTGTATATTTATTTCAGCTGCTGATACAACACATTTCTAGGTGCCAACTTTTGTAACTGTCGAATTCAAGGTAATTCTACATACAATTGCAAATGTCTATGGTTTCCAGTGAAATCTTGCTCAGGCATCTACACAGTGAAACACACATTATCTTATTCTTCTCTTTTTACTTTTCACTTATATCATAGTTAGGATTTTATACTGATACGTTTTGAAACTATACTTTCTGTAAGTAAGATCATCTAAGAATTCCATTTTGAGAAAGTAAAGGAGATTTCACAGAATTTATTTTGAAATGGGTAGTGAGTCTGAGAGAGCTGAGGATTATCTACTTAAGGTCTAAAAATCCCCTCCAACTTGACTGCTGTCCAGGGCGGATTCTTAAATCTTGCCACCATATTCTGGGGACATCATAGCCAGAGCACTGTGCTGGGTGTGAGGACACCCGGACCCCAGCCCTGCTGTCTCTTTATTGGTGGCCCATGACCTTAGGCAGGTCTGTTCCTGTCTGTAAAATAAGGTTAGTTCAGACAAGCTGTTCCAACCTTTCAACCACTTTTTATTATTATCCACTCTCCCCACAGGACCCAGTATTTCTAAGATGATCGTTTATTACTTATTATAACAATCAATTTCCGATTTTTTTTAACTAACCAAAGGTACATAATTGCAAAACAGAAGAAAATAACAATGGCAGTTAACACTGAGTGCTTATGATGGCCCCACAGGGAACCCTCCCCCCAGCTCTGCCAACCCCGCCATTACTACCACCACACTGTGGACTCCCAAATTGGGAAGTGCTGTCTCAGCCAGAGACTAAGGTCTCCCTGGTCCTTGTCTCCTCCCTTAGAGCAGAAGTCTCCAGCCCTAAATGCTGGCATCCTTGTCTGCAAAGATCTTGGACATCACTTATTTGTACCCCATGCTGTTTTAGAAAAGTTCTGAATTTGTCAAAAGAGGTCAGGGGACTACAATGAAATGAAATGAAACAGGCAAGACACTAGGACTACATGCTCTCCGGGAAAGTACCTCTGCATCTTTGCATTTTCCCAACAAGCCTGGGCCAAGGCCCTGCACAGACAAAGGGCTCTGGGATGAATAACTGAATCACCTGGGCGGTGACCCAGGAGTACCGCACACGAGCCCCACGGGCACTGGCCCTTGGGCTAAGAGGCTCTCTGTGACCTCTAGGAAGGGGGCAGGTAGTCTTCAGATGCTGGGTAGTTAGGGTGACTAGTAGCAGTAAAAAAACTCACTGCTCTACTTATGTCTCCGTGTTCTATCTCCACACACCAAGACGGACAATTCCATTGAAGACACACGGGGGCCAGAGAGGGGGTCAAGTAACAGGCTGGAATCCTTCTGCAGAGGCACGGGCTGCCCACCAGAGACTGTACTCACCAGGGAGGCTGCCGGCTGGTGTGTGGGTGCGGTGGGTGAATCCGGAGTGGGTCCACCTCTCTGGCAGTGGCAGGGGGAAACTCCCGGTGGGGACTGTTTACACTAGCCTTGTCCCAGTGCTCATGGATAGGTGTGATGATTCCAGACACAATACGAGACCGCAGTTCCTCACTGTTCTTGTAGGTCCTGCAGGAAGTAGACGAGGTGTCAACTGCTTGTTGCTGGCTGCACACAGTATTTTGGAGGTAGCGGCGGCGGCGGCCCTGACAGCTCTTGGCATTGCCCTTGGACCGTTTGTAGGGGTGGGAACGGGTTGCCCGGCGGGCTTGGGTGAGGGGGGCAACAGCCTGGCGGCGTCTCCGAGACTTGGGCCTAAGCTTCTTAGGCATCTGAGTTGCCCCTCCTCATTTACCACCCCATTAGAAAGAGGTGAGGATGTAGGGGCACAGGGCCTGGACTGGATACTCCTCTGTAGTGCCCCATCCCACCCCACCCTCAATTGTGTGCTCATCATGTGTCATAGGAAGGGTCAGGAAGGCAAAGTCTCCAAGGGGACGATGAACTAGGTTCCTGCTCCAGGTAGGAAGGGCTCTGGGGCTCAGGGTCCAGTTCTGTCACTAACTCGGGGGTCCTCGGAAGGCTGCTCTAGGCTTCTTTTCTCTGCCTGAGAGAGGCAAGCAATGTGCGCTATAGCTGCGGTGTGAAGGCAGACGGAGGTAATGGAGCAGGCAGGACTCGAGAGTTCCTAAAATTCTGGTGTTTTAAAATGAGCTCTATCCTGGGTCGAAAAGCAAACCCTGCAAATGTAAAAGAACTAAAATCATACAGAATATGTTCTCTGACCATATGGAGTCATACTCAACATCATCACAGAAAGGAAGTCTCTGAATATGTGAAAATTAAGCAACACAAGTCTACATAATCCATGAATCAAAGAGGAAGTCTTGGGGGGAAAAAAAAGCGGTGAATAGAATAAAAAGGCAACATATTAAAATATGTGGGATACAGCTAAAGCAGTGCTGAGAGAAACTTTATAACACTAATAGCTTACATTGGAAAAGAGGATAGACATCAAGAATCAAAATTCTGACCTAAGAACCATGAAAAAGAAGAACAAGTTAAACTCAAAACAAGCAGAAGTAAGGAAATAATAAGGAACAGAAATCAATTAAACAGAAAACAAAAATAATAGAGAAAATTAATAAAACAAAAAACTGGTTCTCCCAAAAAATGAATAAAGTTGATAAACTTCTAACAAGACTGGTGAACATAAAATGAGGAAGACACAAATCACCAGCGTCAAGCATGAAATGAGATATCACAACAGATCTGCTGCCATCGAAAGGATACGAGACTAAGAAAGACTTATTCAACAACTCAGACCAATTCTTCAAACCACAAACTAACAACTCAGCCAAATGAAACAGATAATCTGAATAGTCTATTAAAGTAACTAAATTCATAATTAAGCAGCCCAAAAAATAAATCTCCAAATCCAGATGATTTTAGTGGAGAATCCTACCAAACACTTAAAGAAGTCACATCAATTTACAGTCACTTCCAGAAAATACAAGAGAGAACATTTCCCCAATTCATTTTATGAGGCCAGTATTAACCTGATATCAAAACCAGACAAAGAGAGTACCAAAAAAGAAAACTACAGACCAAGTATTTCCTATGAACTTGGATGCAGAAATGCTCACCAAAATATTAACAAATCGAATTTAAAAATACATAAAAAATATTATATACCACAGGATTTACTGTAGGTATGTAAGGCTGGTTCAAGATTCACAAATCCCTACCATATCAATAAGCTAAGAAAAATCATATGATCATATCAACTAATGCAGAAAAAAGCATTTAACAAAATCTACCACAATAAATCCATTCATGATAAAAACTCTCAACAAACGAGGAATAGAGGGGAACTTCCTCAGCTTGATAAACAGCATCTACAAAAACCCTACAGCTAACTGTATACTTTATTAATGACAGCCTGAATACTTTGTCTCTAAGACTGGGAACAAGGCAAGGATGCTCTCTCTCACCACTCTTAGCATAATGCTGGAAGTTCCAGGCACTTCAATACCGCAAGAAAAAGCATCCAGATTAGAAAACAAGGAATAAAACTGCTTCTATTTGTAGATGACACGATAATCTACTTTGACATTCTCAAGGAATCTATGAAAAAACTCAAAAAATACTGTGAGTTCACCAAGTGTTCTGTATACAGGACAGGACACACAAAATAAATTGCATTTCTATATACTAACGATGAACATGTGAAAATCAAAACTAACAACAGAACATCATTTATAATCACCTCTGCCCACCAAAATAAAAACATGTTCAGATTCCATATGCTTAAAATTACAAAATGATAAATCAAATAAGACCTAAATGAATGGAGACATTCCATTTTCACAGAAGTGTCAAGTTTCTCCATTATAGGTTTAATGCAATTCCTATCAAAATCCTAGCAAGGTTTTTTTAAATAGACATAGACAAGCTTATTCTAAAGTTCATACAGGAAGGCACGGACCCTAGAAGAGCTAGGCCTATCTTGACGAAGAAGAAGTGAATGGAGGAATCATTCTACTCAATATTAAGGTCTACTATGTGTTTACAATAATCATTACTATGTGATGCTGGCTGAGGGATAGACACAAAGATCAATGGAAAAAAATAGAGAACACAAAAACAGACACACCCAAGTACAGACAACTGATTTTTGACAACGCAGCAAAAGCAATTCAATAAAAGAAGAGCTACTTTAATAAGTCAATCCTAAAGAACACCGTGCTTGAAGAAAGGGTTTCATGGTTAGAAAGTGTTAATACCTGTAATAGCTTGCAAGCGCTAAGGGCCTATGGTCTATACACCCCTACAAAGAACAGGTTTCTACTTAGAACACAGAACTTCAGGGACCTTGCTGCTTCCCTGACCAAGTTGGGTGGAGGGGTAAGTAAATCTAATTCCTCTTTCCTTCCAATCAGATGAGCTGTGTGTGATACGGTTGGAAGGCCGCTGATCTCTCTATGTAAGATGTTTACCTGCAGAACTCAGGTATGATTCAGAAACTACTTAGTATTAAAAGAGAAGTTTTCACACAATTTCTAAGTCTTTGCAGAACTGCCATTTTGGTAGGAGCAAAAGACAGCTTGTCATCCTGTCTAATGTAGAAGGGGCATGGCGGAAAGGTACAGGTTTGTTCTCCGTAGCAAATCAGTTTGCTCACTGAGGGTCACAAATTCCTACCTAAAACAGACAAGGGATGCCATGGGGACCTACCAAGGAGGGGCCCGTGGAGGAGGGGGACTAGAAGCGGGCAGCTAGCTCAGTGCTGCTGGCAGAGGAGGGAGGGAGGGAGGGAAGGCCTTATGATCAGGAGGCAGAGCCATGCCCCAGCTCTCAGAGTCTCAGTTTCCATGGAGATGATTCCTACTGATCAGATTTTTCTCCCTTTGCATATTTACCGAGAGCTTGGGCCCAGCACTAAGCACTGTGCTGACATATCATTTCATTCTCAGAACAACATGCTGAGGCAGTACTATTGTGGCCCTCATTTCACAGCAATCAAAAAACAAAACAAAGTAAAACACTCACACACATAAAACCCTAACACCAACTGTATTTAAAAAAATAAATGGAAACATTATCTCCGTTTCTCTCTCAGTACTGCTGAGGGAACTAAATGCTCTAATGAGCATGAACACCTTAATACAGGCCTGGGTTCTTCCACAAGTTTTGTCCATTTCTCTCCCAGTGGGATTCCAAGATGAAGAAGTCAAGCGACACAACACTCCAAATGTCCTTCCCTTTCCTCCTCAGGGGTGTGGTGGGGTCATGGTGTGGGCGGCACCCGAAAAGAGCAGCTTGGCCAAGGCCAGGCCTGGCCTCCTTAACTCCTTCATTCCTGTCTACTGTATGCAAAGCAGACCCCCACGCCCTGCCCTCAAGGAGATCACAGGCTAGTAGGGAAGACCAACTCTCAGACGTTAATCACAAAATACCCATTTACTAAATGCTTAAAAGGCTGTTCCAAACATTAAACATGGGGGTGTCGGGCAGGGGAGGCTTCTCTGAGGAGCTGACGTTTCAATGGGAACTGAGAGAACGGGAGCTGGCTGTGTGACGTGGGTGGGGAGCGCACTTGGGCGGAGAACTCTGAGCAGGAGGAGCACTGCACCATGGCTGAGACACAGGCGCCAGGGCGGCAGTGGCCCAGGATGGGGTGGGAGGGCTTGGGCACTAGGCTCTAGGCATGACCAAGGATTTTGTTTTTATCCTCCGAGAAATAAAAATTCATTGAAGAGCTTGGGGGTTTTTCTGGATTAAATTTTTTTTTTTTTTTTACTGTACCAATGTAACCAGCTTTAAATGCACAGCTCAGTAGTATTTAAATACATTCACACCATTGTGCGCCATCACCACCGTCCGTCTCCAGAGCTTTTCATCTTGCCAAACTGAAATTCTGTACCTTTTAAACAATAACGCCCCATTTCCCTTCCCCCCAGCCCCTGGCAACCACCATTCTACTGTCTGACTCTGTGAATCTGGTTACTCTAGGTCCCTCACATAAATGAAATCATACAGTATTTGTCCTTTCGTGTGGCTCTTTCCCATAGCATAGTGTCTTTGATTTTCATCTATGTTGTAGCATGTCAGAAATTCCTTCCTGACAGCTGACTAGCATTCCATTGTAGGTAGAAACCACATTTTGTTCAGGCAATCATCTGTCCTAGGTATTCATGGACACCTATGTTACTTCTACCTTTTGGCAACTGTGAATAATGCGTCTACGAACGTGAGTGTACAAATATCTCTTTAAGACCTTGCTTTCAATTCTACTGGATATATGCCCAGAAGTGGAATTGCTGAATCATATGGTAATTTAATTTTCTATAGTGGCTGCACCATTTAGTGTATAAGGGTTCCAATTCCCCCACATTCTCACCAATACTTGTTATTTTCTGTTTTTCTTTTTTTTGATAGTGGCCATCCTAGTATGTGTGAGGTGGTATCGCTGAAGGATTCCCAGCAAGGGTTTGAACCATGATCTGATCTGTTTTAAAAGGGCTGGTCTGACTGCTATATGGGAAATCGACTGGAGGAGGGGAAGTTGGGGTCTCCTCACATAGAGGCTGCATGCGAGAAGGGAGGGACGAACAAGGGTGGTATGG